CCCACGGTGATGCTTCAAATCATGTCGAGCCCACTAACACCTCCCCAGAGTTCGCAAACCTCGTAAATGACAGCCCCATTGGTATGCCTGTCATTGAACTCTACGATTCTGGATCCACTCAACACATCTCCCCTTACAAGGAGAAGTTCGAGACGTTGGTGACGATACCACCCAAGTCATTCTCGGCTGCCAACAAACAACTCTTCGACGCTACTGCTATGGGGGAGTTAGTCATAGAGGTGCCAAACGGGTATGATGTAACTAAACTGCAACTCACCGAAGTACTATACTCACCCGAGGTCGGATACACCCTTGTGTCCGTTGGCTGCCTTGACCAGCTAGGCTACTCCATCACCTTCGCTGAAGGTACCTGTACCATCAGGAACCCTGCTGATGATGTTGTTGGTTGCATCCCTAAGTCTAAAGCCGGGCTCTATTGTGTCATCCACAATGATGATCATGACAGTGCAAACACAGCAGCTGAATCAATAACTGTGATGGAACTTCACCATAGGATGGGACACATTTCTCCATCTGTTGCTCGTCGCCTAGCTGAAAAGGGACTTGTATCAGGTTTGAAGTTCGACTTGTCGAAAGACGAGCCAACCTTCTGTGAAGCCTGTGTATACACAAAGGCAACCAGGAAGCCTGTCGTGAAGGAACACATCGGAGAACGAGCTCACGAGTTTGCTGAAGAAGTACATAGCGACATCTGGGGACCCACACCTGTAGAAACTCTTGGTGGATGGCATTACTACATTTCCTTCACTGACAATAAGACGCGACTCACCTATATTCATCTCCTTTCGCCAGAAGAGTGAAGCCTTCACAGCCTACAAAGATTTCGAGGCCTGGTGTCACACCCAGCATAATGCTTGTGTGAAGACCCTCCATTCCGATCGAGGCAGGCGAGTACCTCAGAAAAGAATTTGTGATGTACCTCAAGGCGGCTGGAACAAAACAGAAGCTCACCATACACAATACCCCACAGCACAATGGAGTTGCTGAGCGTCTCAATCGCACCTTGCTTGAAAAAGTCTGTGCCATGCTGCACAAGAGCAGCTTGCCTCATGCTCTATGGGGTGAAGCGGTGTGCCATGCCATCTGGTTAAAGAACAGGACTCCCACCAGAGCGCTTGACGGTGGGATGCCCCTCGAAGCTGCGACCAGGGAAGAAACCAGACCTCAGTCAAGCCCACATGTGGGGCTCGAGCAGCTGGGTATGAATCGAGGGTGGAACCAAACTTGGAGGGCATGTTGCAGAGGGCTGAATGGGTTGGGATCAATGATAACAGTCCCAATGGCTGTCGCATGTACTGGCCTGAAAAGAAGTCAGTTACCATCGAAAGGAATGTATATTGGAATCCCTCCTCAGCTGAGTCATTACCTCGCGAGGGGGAGGAAGAAGACAGCTACTTACCGAACATGTGATGCTAACACCTCCAGCTCCTGTCCCAAAGACAAAAGAAATTCCAATGCCTCCACACATCGCCCCAGCTCATCCCATGCCCCCATCACCTCCAGCTGAACCACCCGTCACGAAATGAATTCGAAAGCCTAGCCAACGACTTGCTGATATCCTCACCGGTAAAGGCAGTACAAACGGTCGTGGTATACCTAATATACCAAAAGGAGTCCAGCTCCCCACTACAGTCGAAGATGAAGCCAACCCCACCAGACTTGAGGGGGAGGACAGAGCCGCAACTTTGCTCGCATCCATCGTAGACAATCCCAACAATGCCCTTTGCAATATTGACCTCACTATGGCCATGAATGAAGTCACCACTGAGTCCGAAGCCCTTGAGCCTACCTCACTGGCTGAGGCTCATCATCGGCCAGATTGGCCACAGTGGGAGGCCGGGATAAGAGAAGAGTTAGCAACGTTACATGCAGCAGGTACTTGGGAACTTGTTGATGCACCTCATGGTGCCAACATAGTTGGATCCAAATGGGTGTTCCGTGCGAAGAAAGACACTGCTGGAAATGTGGTATGGTACAAAGCCCAACTCATTCGCTCAAGACTTCTCTCAAGTCGAAGGCATCAATTATTTCAATACCTTCGCCCCAGTTGCAATGCTCGTGTCCATTCGAACCGTCCTTGCCATGGCAGCGCGATCAAACCTGGAATGCCATCAGATCGATATCAAAGGTGCATACCTGAACGGTACACTTACCAATGACGAAGTAATCCACATGTGACAGCCCCCAGGCTTTGAATCCACCAATCACCCCAATAAAGTCTGTCGCCTCCGAAAGATGTTGTATGGTTTGAAGCAGAGCGGCCGTCACTGGTACCAAAGATTAGTGGAGATCCCTGTTGATGAGCTGGGCCTTACCCAGTGCTTGGTCGACCAGGCCATCTATTTCAGATGACACACCACCAGAGAGCTTGTCATCGTTGTCATCCATGTCGATGATTGCACCATTGCCGCAACGTCCCTAAACGAGATAGAGGAGCTTAAGCACAACTGTCAGAAAATACGTTGAGATTACCGACCTTGGGGAACTTCACTGGCTGCTTGGCATTGAAGTAACCAGAAATAGAGACGAATGTACCATCTCCCTGTGCCAATGCCCCTACATTGAGTCCATCATATGACGCTTCGGCTTCGACGAGCTCAAGCCCATGTCGAACCTGATGGAACCCAGTACCAAACTGCATTCTGGGCAGTCGCCATCAACTGGTGCTGAATTCGCTATGATGCACCACATACCCTATCGTGAAGCCATAGGATTGCTCATGTACACCTCCCTTGCCACTCATCCCTGACATCTCATACACTGTAACGACTGTCTCACGTTTCTTGGGCAACCCTGGAGTTGCTCATTGGGAAGCTGTAAAGAGAATTTATTGGTACCTTCTTGGGACAAAAGGCTTATGACTCATGTATGGGGGATCACCAAGTGCGTTGACCAGGGTATGCAGATGCAGACAGCAGCATGGCAGAAGACCACAGAGCAGTCTCAGGGTATGCTTTTCTAATAGATGGCGGAGCTGGTGTCATGGTCTTCTAAAAGACAGGAAATCGTCTCACTCTCAATGACTGAGAGCGAGTACATGGCAGCCACACATGCAGCCAAGGAGGCCTTGTGGCTTCGGTTGCTCATCAGAGAGCTTTTTCAGCCATTCATCAAGCCGACCATGTTGTTTTCTGATAATCAATCAGCCATCGCACTCACTAAAGACCATCAGTATCATGCACACACCAAACACATCGATATCCGTTTTCACTTCATTTGCTGGGTTGTAGAAAACAGCAAAATTTGCCTCATATATTGCCCGACTGCAGACATGATTGCCAATACGCTAACAAAGGCACTACCATCTCCGAAGGTGAAACATTTTGCAGTTGAACTCAGCCTACACCTGACTTGAGGGGGAGTGTTAGATTTGGCAAGTCACTTGTAGCCTTTGTTCACTAATTGACACTACTTTTCCTTACCATGGGAAACACTTCCCGTTTATGGGTCTACAAGACCACTGTACTTAGTTGTTTCGAGTGCTGACAATACAGCGCAGTAATTTTTGGTTTATTGTCTCCAAATGTTTCATATGTATAATTAATGGTACAAGCACTCGCGCTATGACTGTGCTTGTAGTTTCAATACCGGGTTCAACACCCGTGTCTCACCCTTTTGTTTCGTATAGCGTATTTAACTCATTACTGTAGTAACACCACCTCAGACGTTTGCCGCTCGCACACTCAACTGAGGTGGGTATAGTGTCTTGTTCCCATGTTCGTGTACTTCACACTCATGTTGTTACCTTAGATCTTGCTATAGGTAATGCAAATATAGATGTTTGCCACTCATGCACTCAACTGAGATCTTGCTATAGATTTCTGTAAGTAATCACCAAATTGTGAGTGCTCACCTGGTTGGAAAGTGAATAATTGGATTTCCTGTCAAAAAATCCCTCCCCATGCAACCCAGGCTTCTGAAATAGATTGAAGGGTGTTCCATCCACACATAAAAATCCCCCCTTCCACTGAGGACATGTTCTCTCCTCCACATATCTCTTTTCCCTGTCCTTTTCCCTCCTGTCCTGTGGTTCCTCAGGGTTAAAGTGAATCACCTCATCATGATGGTGCAGAATGGCAACCATCACCCTCTTGTAGCAATTGTGGACAGTCCCAACAGATACACCAGCCCACTCTGCCATATCCTAGGAGGTGGCAGCATTTTCATAATGCCCAGCAGCATTAAGGAAAATTGCCAATTGTATGGGGACAGGGAGCTGGGGGTTATTAGAGTTGTTGTGGAAGATAGGGTGGGTCTCAATCTTGTCCACTATAACAGAAAAAACAGCTGGGGGGACTCTGAGTTTGTGCTGAAAGAGGTGAGGGTGGTCAACTTTCACTCATTGAGGAGGTGGAGCTGGGGAGAGTGGCTTGGTCTTGGACAATTGTTGAGAACATGTGTTTTTTCAACCTCATCCTGGAGTGCAGCAATAGCATCCTGGAAGCCAGAGAAAGCAGCAGTACTGAATAACAACTGCTCCATCAAGCCAGAGGATGAGGATGAGGAGTCAGAAGTTGCAGCACCAGAAGATGGGGAAGAGGGAACACCAGAAGATTGGGTTGTCATGGTGTTGTCAGATTGGGGTAGGCCTTCACTTGAGTTATCAGAGTCAGTAGCCTCAGCCTCCTGCAGTGCTACATGTAGTATATCTAAGTACTGTAGCAGACCAAAATGTTCCCTGGCTTGTTGAAGGATGGCTAGGAGTTCCTGGTGCTCAGTAACCCTAGGCATGGTGTTGGTAAGTGGTTATCACTTGCTAGATCTCTTTATTGATAAGCATGCACGCTTTCCAGCGGAGTTTGAATTTTAAATCGGAGCGTTAATAGCATTATCTACACATCTACCGTTTCCGGGTCACGAGCTTTTTCTGCGGAGGTTGAATATCCAGTCGGAGATTCAATATTGGCCACAAACTCACAACTCAACCGCACTTGAGTTTGCTCGCGTGTTTTTTCCACATTATAACTTTGAGCGGCCCTATGGATCCAGACCAGTTCAATCACTGCCAGGCTCGTCTGTCGACTGGCAGGACGTATCACTATGTAGACGAGAAACCAGCCAACAACAACGATGAGGCTCTGACTCTCTTGTGCATCCATGGATTCCCAGATTTATGGTATATTTGATACGGGCGAGGATCCAGGTATGTGCTGACTCGCCGCAGGTATGGTTGGCGCCATCAGATAAAGCCATGGGTCGAGCACGGCTATCGAGTCGTCGTGCCAGACATGTTGGGGTACGGTAAGACAGACATGCCCACAGAGACTTCCGCCTATTCTACGAAGAATCTCTCCAACGATCTCGCTGCACTCTTGGACATTATCGGCGTTCAGAAGGCAGTGCGTGCGTCTCCCTCGTCCGACCAAATCGTCACACTAGATACTTCATATTAGGTCGTCGTAGGACACGATTGGGGCGCGTTCATCGCGAGCAGATTCGCACTCTGGCACCCCGATAGGTTGCTCGCTCTCGCCATGTACGTCACTCCACCGCATTTTGATGGAAGTTTTGACTCAACTCCGCGCAGCTTGTCTGTTCCATATGCACCGCCTATGAAGCAGTACTACTCGCTTGAGCAGATTGTGCAGTACTTCCCGTCATTTGGCTACCAACTCTATTTTGCATCCGAAGAATCCGCGGCTGAGATAGATGCCCACGTATGCGTTATTCTCGATATTCGGTGTTCTAGCACGGCTGACTTCTACAAGCTTCCCACTCTCTTCTATGATCTTTACAGAGCCCCAGACACCAGAATTAAAACCGTGCTGCAAGTCGGTCGAATGCGCGAAGTCCTGTTGAGCGCACCTGTCACCGAAGGTTGCATCTTGAACGAAAAGGCAAGGCAGGCATCAACTTCTCTTATTGGCTGATGGTCTGAGTTTGGCCAGGAAATTGCTTATTACGTCTCGAACTACGAGAGAGGCATGATTGGACCGTTATCCTATTATCGCACGACTCAAATTCGATTCGAAGAGGAGCTTGGTGAGCGATTAACGATAAATCAAAAATCTTCGTAACCCACCTTTTTGCTCAAGCTGCATCCCTTCCGTCCAAGCCCCGCCTTACAATGCCAGTCATCTTCATAGGTGGGAAAGAGGACAAAACTAGTAATCTTGCGGCCATCGAAGCGCATAGGGCGTTGATAGACAAGTTCACCGTGGTCGTGTTGGAAGGCAAAGGTCATTGGTTGATGTTGGAGGCCCCAGAGACCATTACGAATGAAATATTGTCGTGGTTGAATGGTCTAGGTATAGTCCCTGGTACTCAGCAGCGACTCCATTTGTGAGGGGCTGCTGCCAACAGAAATACGAAGTAATAGGTGAGAAGTTCTTCCGATTGAAGCGGACGATGTATTATTACAGAGGTTAGGATGAGAAGCATGTTGTACACGATTAGCTTGCTGCTATCTAAATACCATCGACTTGATTATTTTCAGATTTGCGTGCCCCGATGTAGATACGTCATTCATATCATCTATGACATTAGCTGAATCTTAAGTGACAAGAGACCTAAGATTACTCACTCGTACTTGAAGGCACAACAAGGAACTTGCACACAATTTAAATGTAGAGGGCACGAGTTAGCTGTCAACCACAGTTTCGTTCCTGACAAGTCCTTGTTGTGCTTGGTCCTCTTTTTCCATAGTACTCGCAATCGTGCTTGCATCCGGTGCGTTCCAAGCTCGAGATTCTGCGAGAACTGCAGTGTGCGAGCTACCTAGTCGCCATTTTGTATGCACGGGCTGACATCAGGAGGCTCCTATCAGCAGACGATGGAGCGTGGCGCCCGTGTGCCACCAGAAAGGACCATTGATCCTGCCATCCGATTACACGACATGGGGTTTACGCCGAACTGACATAGCGAGAATGCCCCAAAACTCCAAAACTGACCCTCGTAGGGGTGCCTATGGCGTCTGCATTCGAATTCCTCTGATTCAGCCAGCAGGTCCAGAAATGCGAAGAGCATGACGCATTGAGATGGATTAGTCCACTTTCGCCGAACGCTCAGCGACTCCTGCGCCAGACATCCTCGGATCTCCGACATTGCAGTGGTCAATAAGCGTTCATCGATCATCGATCACGTCAATCACCGCTGGCACGCGTTATGGAGTGACGGGTGGTGCATACTGAATGTCCACTGGGGACGGCGTTTCCCAGGCATCCCAACTTATCATTCCCTTTATTGTTCGGGTCCCTGTGTCTTCGCTTTCATTCATATACCCCTTGTCGCCGGGGCACGGCTGGGCTTCAGCCAGCTTGCTAACATGCCCTTCATCCCTCAGGTTGCTACTGCTCTTGCTCACCGTTCAGTGCTGTTCAACGCACCACTGGGCAAAGCCCATTTCACCTTGGACACATCGGGTGTTGCTGGTGTTTTCGGAGGCGAGGAGGCAGTCTCTGCTATGGCCACCGTGCATGTCTACGAACACAGGAAATGGTTGGGGTGGTACAATGGTCCTGGTTCGTATGAGATTTCCCAGCGTTATGGCAGACTCGCCAAGTCAAGATTCTTTGACGGTCTCTTCCCCGGTGTTCATGCGAACCCCGCCACGCTCTTCGACTTGGATGGCCGGGTAGGTCCGAAATTCAGAGCTGCACATTCCGGAACTGTCATCGACGAGTCAAGTCATTTGGCGGACTTGTTGATGAAGGAATGCTCAGATATGCCTCTCACGAAGGTGCAGGGCAGGAAGACGGGACCCATTGGCGTCACTATTGTTGAACTTCATCATACCCCTAACCATGAAGAATATCCGGCTCAATTCCGCACTCTTGCACCTGTTTACGCCAGTGTGCCCATCCTGGTCAGTTTCATCACATGTGTTGCGTGCCTTCTGGTTAGCGATTGGTTCTCCTTCTCCATGATCCTGCTCGGCATCATCGTCAGCGGCATATCTTGCCTTGTGATCGGCTCCGGGACGTTTCTCTTCACACACCCTGAACCTGCAGAAGGATCCCCCCGCGGAGATGGGATCCTCTGCTCTGACGAGGAAATTGTCATTTTGAGGGGAGAGGAGGCCGCAGTGAACTCGGTCACTCGTGGCAGGTTCTCTATCCGATTCGACAGCGAACCTCAATACGAGAACATTGGGTGGTGTTCCGTTTTGCTGATGGTTCAATTCATCGCGCAATTGCTTCTCATTCCTCAGGGCACTCTCTTCGGCCAAATGATGTTCGTCACATCCCTCGCTGTCTCGTGGGCGTACAACCTCTGGCTGTCCGCATTTGATAAGGAGCAGATCCAGAGAGATATCCTCATGAAGAACGTTCTTCGCAATCCGCAGCTCACTAAATACGAACTCGGCACCCGTACCAGCATGGTGGTGTTTGCTCTTCTTATTTTGCAGGCGGAAGAGCCGGACAAGATCATGAATTCTCTCCTGCCTAATGACACCAAGGAATGGAGGAAGTGGAAGGGTGCCATCATCAGTCGAATCCAAAGCGCAAAAGACTTCGACTTCGACCCGGCTGACTGGGACGATGAAAACTTCACTGATGGAGACAGAAAACTGTTAAACGCTCTCTTCCAAGATGCACGGGACGCCTATGAGGGCTTCAAGAAGTACCACAGGGCGCCAGATCACAAAAGCTTATGAACTTGATGACCCTCCGTATACCTCAATACCTCGTACGTTGTGCCATTTTACTACCTTGATTTGATTGACCGATACGGCTAGCACACATGTTTAAAATTCATTATATACCACAAGGTCTTGTACACGCATCGTACATAACTGTTCTTGTATCTAGCAGTCTGTGTCCAATCGAAGGGAACATATAATGTATCGTTACAGAGGTTATGAATCTTGCTGCCTTTTAACAGACCAGGGTCTCCTTTCGGGTGAACCTTAGCCCAGGTCTCCTGTGCGCCTGTTATGTCCCCACACTTGTGCTGCGTGCGTAATTTTCTTTGCTAGCAATTATCTCTCTGGTAGTGACCTCCACTCTTCCCAACGTGCCTATTTCCCTCTTTGTCAACACGTTCATCGACCATCGCTCGTCATGACACCGTGAACCTATCGTCGCAAATTCAAGTGGTTCATTACATGCTGTTTATAATGGCGGCACGTGACAATGGACCAAATAAATTTGCGACAAATTATCCCTCGACACGTCCGCTACAATGAGAGAAGCTGATGATGTTCTTTCCATACACGACGACCCAATACTGGATATTTAAAATGTCATATCATCTACTATCAAAAATACTCGTGTTCGGATTATAATCTCATGCTCTAAGCCGTCCCGCTTTTTGTACCAACCGACTGGCCCGTTAGTTGGTACAAAAAGCGGGACAGATGACAAGACAACCCGATGCGTCGCAGGCTGTAGTGGGATTATTGCACCGGATGTCAGGCAGTACTACGGCACTGACTCATCTCATGGATCAGCACTCTCGTACTGCCTTCGGAGGCTCTGGGGCCATTCTGAACATGCGAAGGAGTCTTTGGAAGAATATGCATAGTTCTCTGAGCTTGATTCTCTGGTGAAAGTCGTTCTTTGTATAAGGTAAAGTTATGCCGAGTTTCCCCCCTGTCCTTGAGTACATGCCAAATCCACTATCAAAAGCGCTATCGAACTACAACAGTGCGGGACCGATAGATCACAACAAGAACGACACCATGGACCCACTCTTGTGGTGCCGTTCTTGTTGTGACCTAACAGTTTCCCTTTCATCCCTGGATGTTTTAAAACATCCACGCCCTCGCAACACCGTGTGGGATTCGAATGTTTCACAGGCGCTGATCGCCTTGATCATTTTTAGCACAATTTCATCGCCCTATGACAGGATATGACCTGGCCTGAGAACAAAAACACTCGACTTGCGTTAGTCTGCCGTCGTCTATTTTGATCGAAACGAAGTGTAGCGGTACGGGGAATATCCGATGGGCATTAGCAAAGGGCCAGAACATTACTTCTGGCGTCCCCGGCGGTGTTGGCCCCGTCACTACAGTTCTTGCTTATTTCCTTATATATCGTCGTATCGTCCCCGGTGGTAACAAAGTCCAGCGGACGTCAGCGTAACCCCAACTTATTGATTATCATGGACTGGGTGTGTGAAAGACAGACGCATAGTAAATCGTATGAAGCAGGAACTTCAAGCCAATATCTGCGGGACGTAGGATGTAATTATGAGTATCGGAATACGTGATCCCAAGTTTGTGAGTGGTTTCTGGAGACCATCAACGATCAGGATGATGTAGATGCCGCCGAAGCCCCACTCCGTCTAACCAGTGTTTGGTTGACAAGGTCTCTGAGCAGCTCGACCTCGTCTATGGCCTTTCTAGGTGCCTTTCCTTGGACGATAGACAGGATCGTATCATTGGAAACGATATATACTGGTCTGTCAGGTAAGTTGGCGTTTTCGAGGTTCGACTTGATATTCTCCCGGGTCTCATCGATAAAATGCTGCCGCGCCTCCCTGTAAAGTCTGTCGTGCGACCCGAGATCACCATCTTCATCGTCACTATCGTGCCCCATCTCCCTCATCACATTCCTGATGTGCTGGTCTGCTTTGGACCGCACTATGAAGGCGGGAATATTGAACCGTGCGCAGTTGCTGAGAATAGCAACATCCGTCATCGTAAAGCGGTTGTCGAAGAGGACAATGATGCAGTCGAAGACATAGAGGCCTTGAGCATTAAAATACTGCCAGTCGGGAATTTTGATCGTTCCTGCACCTGGGATATCGTACCAAACAAGCGGGTATTGAGGATTAGGGTCTGGGTATCTGTCGAAGACGCGAGTCGTCTCGGTGACACCGGTAGCAGCAGCACCAGCTTCCCTGTTGCGCAAACCACGAAATGCGTTGATCAGGGAAGACTTGCCGCTCCCTGCGACGCCGGCAACGGCGAAATGAAAGAGTCCCTCTTTGTACTGTACCCGCCTTTTTGCGGCTTCCAGCTCTGCTACAGTCGGTGTGACGACAGGCTGTATACCCTCTTTCCACCGTTTCTCTATTTCCTCCTTTGCAGACATGGCTTGCTTCACTTCTTCCTTGGCTGTTTTGGCTGCTTTTTCTGCCTCAGCTCGAGCAGCATCCGCTTTTTGACGCTCTTCTTTGGCTATCTTTTTCGCTCTCTTCGCTTCCTCCTTTGCAGCCTCTTCTGCTTTTCTTGCCTGCTCTTGCATTTCTCTGGCTCGTTCCCGTTCTTGTGCTGCCTGCTCAGCGAGCCTCGCAGCATCCGCTCGTGCCTCCCGTACAGCGGCCTCAGCCTCTAATCTCGCCTTCGTCGCTGCTCTCTCCGCCTCCACCATCTCCGTCATCATTCTATGCGCTTCCTCGCGCGCCTTCCTTGAGGCTTCCTCCAATGCTTCTAGACGCTCCCTTGCATGTCGACGTTCTTCCTGCGCTTCATCGCGGATACGCTGCGCCAGTTCTCTGGCCTCTTTGGCTCTCTGTAGTGCATCCTTTAAGGGCATCTTCTTCGTGTGGACGGTTCGCTATCGCCACCATCGTCGGGTTGGGAGCTGGGCGTCGAAATGCAGATATCACTGTAGCGGCTGCGGCGCCCAGTACGGGCAGCATTGACACAGCAGGACCCATCGCTTCTGTGTTTGTCGTTCCAAAGGCAAAGAATACAGTGATGATAGAGTATATGAGCGTATGCAGTAGGAGGTACTCAAGACGCAGGCGCAGTATATGGCCTTCAAGGTGCTGTGCGAAGTGGCATTGGAACGGACACTATCAGGCTTCTTAGGGCAAGGGTTGTACGGCTATCCCCTTGTGGCAGGAAATCTAATAGAAAGTGCTCAATAGAACCATGAAACTATCTTGTGACATCTCTATCGTGATGAAGTACCCGTGGTTCACCTAGATAAGCCATCCGACGATCACGAAGTGCTCGCATTTAGGTATCATCCGGGAATGGAGTTGGTAGGTCCCCCAAATGACCTAGTGTTGACGTCAATCTTGGCAATGGGGAAATGCTGCAGGAAGCAAGGCTGCAACGGCGAAAAGAGATGGAGGTCCAGAAGAGTTGACTATAGCATGTGTGACCATGTACTGCTATGATCAGATCTCCTGTTTTAGTGAAGGACGATGGTCACATGTCAACAGGATCTTGCGGTGATTACCCTCAGTCTTACGAGCGTAACTCCACTGTGGTGGTGCAACTCTAACGTGAATGTCAAAGTAAATTTTGCTCAGGCCTGCCTGAAACTACTGCTCGGAGTTCCCGGAACTTGGACCTACGTTGTTATGTAAGCTTCCTTTTCCGCTCCCTTCTCCGACGCCGCGGTATATTCGGGTTAACCCCTCCTATATCGAGTTTCTTCGGACGTTACGCGTTGAGTTCAGTATTTGCTATCTAACGCACGGTGAGCGGACTTGGAATGCTGAGCATGAGATAACACAGGCATACGAAATGGAACTGGACATGGCAACCAACGAAGTGTTCGGGGAATAGGAACAAGTACGTACTCGAAAGGCAACGAAGAGGTACGAGGCCTTTACTTGGTATACTATTGACTGGGTGCGATCGACACAATTCCTGAATCTCCCTAGCTCGTTTGCACACCTGCGTTGCCTGCTCAGCGGGCCTCGTAGCATCTGCTCGCATTGCTTGTACAGGAGCCTCTGCCTCTACTCTGGCTCTCGTCGCCGCTCTCTCCGCGTCTTCCATCCCCATCATCATTCTATGTACCTCTCCATGAACCCTCCTTGAAGCGTCCTCCACTGGCTCTGGATGCTCCCTTGCGTGCTTGATCTCGTCCTGCACTTCTTAGCGGATACGTTCCGCCAGTTCTTTGGTTTCCTGAGCTCTTCGTCGTGCCTCCCTTATGGCAACCTCCTCTTGCGGACGGTTTTTGATCGCCACTATGGTCGGAGCTGGGGGCCGGGCGTACAAATACAGTTATTATTGCTGCAGCTGCAGTTCCGCGTGTAGCCAGAACTGACATGGCGGCACCCATTGCCCTGACTGTGTCATTTCGAGGGTAAAGGATACGTTCAGCGGGAAAGTGTGTCACAAGTGATCGCACGAAGCGGCTTATGGTGTCCTTTGTCTTGTATCGCGCTAGTCAGCTTTCTTCCTGTAGATAGACACGAGCAACCCCAAGCACTCTTCACACGAGGTCATGAGTTCGTCTCTAGCATGTCTTCACGACATTGCATATCGTGACTTGCCGGCCTTGCCGTGTCTTTCGAAGACCTGCCAAATTTTCCGATTGAAACAGCCTATTACCTGCCGGAAGCCGGCGGAACCGCCTTTGATTTCGGATCCTATCCTCAGGTCTTCTATCGCACCGGAAATCAAAGGTGGGGCTAAGGTGGCTCAAATCCTCTTAGCATCCAACCATCGTATAGTATGCGGACGTCCGACCGAAACGCAGACGATAGTGTTTCAGTTTGGTTGACCACGCCTGTCGACTTTTCGGTGGGCGGAACACAGGGAAAATACAACAAGTCGAACAAAGTTTGTGGGGGACAACCACGCAACGGCGTGCAAGGTTTCAGGTGGCCAAGAAAAATCTTTCAATTCGAAGCTGAGAAAACTAGCTCAGCGCTTGAGCGGGGCGATTATAGTAGCCCTTTCAGTAGCGCTAGGAGGCAAGAAGACTGCGAAGTGCAAGGGCAACCTTATACGCCTGCCCTTCCCTAGAGAAGGCTGTCAGGCATGTATGGAGGTGATATTGATATTCCACGTTACATGACATGACATGGCTCCATCTTTTGGCGAAAAGACTGAGTGGCGGATGCAGGATGAAATCACCAGTATCACGCCTCTCCTTCTCTTCGCAGTGCTGTGGTCTTACCAAGTGTCAGATCGGCGGTGATATCGATAACCGCCGCTCCGCGCACCTCTATATGTCTCTCTCTGACCTTCGAACTCTCTACGCCATCTGAAAGCTTCGAGAGGTTCGCGAAGCGGACAGCATCACTGCATAGCTCTGAATCGGTACTTGAATCCTGGGACCGAAGGTGTTGCCGGGTGTTCAGCGATGCTAAAAGCGAGTTGGCATATACTATTCAATAGTAAGATGGGGTGTTCTTCCATCACTTGCAGGACACGAAAGACTGACATTTTCCCATGACGAACTCCATTCCCATTGCCCATGAATTCTGGTTCTCAACAGTCTGAATGAACTGTGAGAGGGACATTGTCGTAGCTTAGTGTAATGTGTCATACGTACCGCGACGAGCTCTGCAATGGCAACTAGTCTACAATGAAAAGCCGGGATAAGTCATAGTACAAACGAAAGAAGGACCAAACTCACAAGCTCAGCAAGCACCGGTTAACAGCGTAGATGATGAGCGTGTTCAGAAGACGTTTCGTTCTAAGCAGGGTTCGTTAGGTGCCGTGGAATCACTGGCACGACCTGTACTCACCTTGGGAAGGCGGAGTGAGAGCCATTGTCGTACAGAAGCAAGCAAAGTGACACCGTAATCAGAACCTCGGCTAGTACGTAGGTGGCTGAACAGGGTATTGAGGCATGCAGCTAGGAATAGCAACTTGTGAGCTGAACAGCCAACATGTCTGAAAACAGATCTACCGCAACTTGCGAAGCAGAGCTGAGTCCGTTATTGGTGAACCTATACATGGATGTCATTATTCCGGTGAGGATGATAGGATGCATTGAAATACAATAGAACAATCGTCCCTTTTGCTTGATTAGCCTAGGTCTGTCGTGGTGAAATACTAGCACGAACCTATGCCTAACCCTGTTGAAATATAGTTGGAAATATCTCGTCGGCATGATAATAATAAAAACCCACCAAATTGAGCCAGCAACAATAGTATCTATTGCGACCATGTCACTGGATAATATTTTTGTCATCGAGCAAATGTACTTACAATTGGGACAGTCACCAACCACTTCACCTGAGGACGACAAACTGATTGATGTCAAATTTTCGAGAGGCAACTGACAGCTTTGATGGCACCTACGATAATATATTTTATGTGCGAAGAAACTAGCAGCATTCGGTTGATGAGCATCGACTCGTATAGGTGGTCACCTACCATTGAACTGCAATAATCACAAACAACTGCAATGCAATTAAATTTTGTCATAATAGTTTCGAGTTGAAACGGACGTACGTTCACCAGAGCCGATGCCTAAGCAAAAAATCAGCGCCTGGCAAGTGGTAAAAAATTGGGTGTGCTTACTGGGAATGACCTGCGATGTCTCGTCAATGGGAAACAGCTCTGAAACGGAGGGCATACGCACCAGACATCATGCTCCAAACTCATCAGATTGCCGTAATTGGTTATCTGCAGCGATTGAGTACGACGGTCGCAAGAAATGAACGCATCAGATTCACCAGGTAGTAATACAAGAAATGACACACTAATTGACGGTTAGCCATGCATTCACGCAGACGCACCAGAAACCCACTGAATGAGACCTGCAGGGTATCGAGAATCCTGACTTCGCATGAGCTGCCTTGAAGGCTACCCAGGGTAGCCTCACTCACCATATGGCAGCTACGACTAACTGTATCATCGAGGGATCCTCAGAGTAGTTCATGTAATACATATAAGTCTATATAACCAGTAAGCAGATCGTGAGCCTGAACACTCTGGATAAAGCGCCCCTGGAGAGTTGTTATGCCATATAACCTTGACATGGAATAAGGTCATCAGAAAGGAGACGGAACAAAATCATGCGAAACAACACATACATGGCGGAGACCAAACCCCCAATGAGAACAGGACCTAGCGCAAACGGATGAACAGACAAGACCGCATTTGGCTGAGAAAGGCCCTCACCGAACCCGTCATGGATGCTCATGGTGACTTGTATAAGGGAACTCGATGCGACGAGCCCACTGAGGAGTGAAGGTAAGTGGAGAAGCCCAGTCCAGTTTTTAAAAAGGAGAGCTGCATTTGTATGATTGGGACTTCTTGCATCGCCCCGAGCCATGGAGTAATCCACTAGACTGACCAATCATCGAAGCGTCCGCTCCAAGCTCGGCATCCATCAGGTATGATGGAATGTGTATAAGGGGAAACGGCTCCATGATTTCTGTAGTAGTACTGCCTGTCCTATCGTCCTTAGCTTCACAGCATGCGGGAATTGACTGACCTCTTCAAGTATGTCTGGGGCCGGAGGTGGAAGTCGTATCCGATTCCGTGCGATATGCTCTTGTTGCAGGTTTCATAGAGATCGTGGCTATGAGCGGATCAATCTGGGGTTGTTGAGAGTGGAAAGTGATTAGTGTCCAACGTCCAACCGTCTCTTGAGGAAACTTAGGCACTCTTTGAGCCCCGAAGAATTCATCTCGTTCACGAAGGAGCCATCGCGAGAAAACGCCAAGATGGACTGCAGGCGTTCGAGGGTCTCCCTTTCACAGGTCTTCAGTGGGGAAATTTTCACCAGCCACGATACCGAGATTTGTAGAGACGGCAATATGGGCTGGATTTGATTCGGAACAGTTTGTTACATCTCATTCTCTACTTGTAGTCTGACAGTGTCAATTCCAACCTGATATTTTGAAGCAATGTCTACATTTCGAAGGTCATCCAGTGCCAGGAACTAGTTACGAGTACAAAGTCCCTTTGGAAGACACGATGTAATACTAGGCTATTACGAACTCGCTGATCTCGCTGTCAATTTGTTGCCCGACCCCGTCTAAGATGGGCCTCAGTGAAAAGATCGGTGAGCAAAGTCAACTCATCAATAGCTCTTTTGGGTGCATTTCCTCTCACCATCCCCAACAAATTATCGTTAGATACGATATAGACCCGCTGGTCAGGTAATCCAGCGTTCTCCAAGTTGGTCTTGACGCTCTTGCGGGTCTCCTCGATATACTGCCTGCGGGCAGCCGTATAAAGCCTCTTACGACGTCCCGGGTCATCCTCATCATCCTCTTCGCTGTCGTATTCCCATATCTCTCATCAAGTTGCGGATGTGCTGATCTGCTTTGGAGCGCACGATGTACGTCGGGATTTGGAACCGCCTGGCATTGGATAAGATGGCAATATCAGTCATGGTGAATCGGTTGTCGAAGAGGACAATGATGCAGTCGAAGACATAGAGGCCTTGTGCATTGAAGTATTGCCAGTCAGTGATTTTGAGCGTTCCTGCACCGGGGATATCGAACCAGACGAATGGATGTTGGGGATTGGGATCGGGATATCTCGTCGTTGTAAGAGTTGTCTCAATGACACCTGTAGCAGCGGCACCAGCGTCCTTGTTGCGCAATCCACGGAAAGCATTTATCAGGGAAGACTTCCCACTTCCTGCAACACCAGCGACAGCGAAATGAAAAACACCCTCCTTGTACTGAATCCGCCTTTTAGCCTTTTCAAGCTCTTCCAGCGACTGGCGTGACCACGGGTTGAATCCCTGCCTTCCATCGCTTCTCTGCTTCCTCTTTAGCGGCGGCTGCCTTTTGAACCTCTGCCTGTGCTGCTCTGGTAGCCCTATCAGCATCGGCTCGGGCAGCTTCCGCTCTTCGTCGACCTTCTTCTGCAGCTTGCCACCTCCTTTCCGCCTCTGCTCTTGCGGCAGCCTCCGCTCGCCTAGCTTCTTCGATGGTCTGTCTCGCTCGTTCTAACTCCTCCTTGGCCTGCTTCAATGCCTCTTGTTGAGTTGCTGCCGCAGCTTCAGCTGCCGCCTGTGCAGCCCTTGCACGACTCTCAGACGCAATGATTGCGTCCCTCATCCTCCGTGCATCTTCTTCAGCCTCAGCAGCCTCCCCAGTTACCGCGTCCAAACGCGCTTGCATTCGCTGGCTTTCCGCTAATGCATCATTCTGGATTTTCTCAGCAAGCTCCTTGGCAGCTTGGGCATCGCGCGTAGCTTTTTCAGCAAGATTCCGGGCCTCGATCTCGGCAACAGAGGGGTTAGGTGCAGCAGGTGGCGAACGGCTTCTGGAAAACAGATTGCCCATCGAATTATAAGGGTTGGAGGTACTTGGGTGTCGAATAGTAGCGGGTTGTTATGCGACTGCTAGCACTGAATTCCAGCATGCAGTACTTATGCGTCCAAAGGGTGGTCTAGTGGAGGTAGGGTACACCGCTGCGGATGGGAATAATCGAGGGAGACGGTGATCTTCACAAGCACTGCTGCTCGAATCATGTGAGGATACACACCTCATGCCATGAATCTAGAATCAGGAGATCAGTGGATAAAGAACGCATGTTGGAGATTTGCCCCGATCTGTACTCTTTGGTGGTCTTGGAACGGAACTGTATCATTTCCATGAACTTAGGAAGCAACGGCTACTTGACAGCCCATCGGCCCGTCACGCAGACTCGATAGTCCACTGCAAGTTGTAGGAACTCTCGGCAGAAACATCAGCACGCAGAAGGGGAATGGCAAGCACAGCGTTTCATCAGATGTACTAAGTAACTCCAAGACTTGTTCAAGGCAGCACACAGTATGATTGTACGGAAATGGCAACTAAGAAAGTTTTCGGTAGAACGAGTAGGTACCGGAAAAACAGTGGGGAATTAGGCCGCGAACGCCATGGAATGCATGGGATTTACAACTGCGGATGAGAGCGCGTCAGTTAGTTTCCCTTTCGCAGACCGAAGACTGGACAGAAGACCGTCATCCTCTCTCGGCAGACTGCGCCGAGAAACAACCTGAGTGTAGATATCTGTGAGCAACTCGACTTCGTCGATAACCTTCTTCGGCAGCCTCTGTGTTGTGGTGCAAGATAGCACTGTGTCGTTAGATACGAGGTAGACCCGCTGATCAGGTAGGTTGGCATTCTCCAAGTTGATCTTGACGCTTTCCCGGGTTTTCTCGATGTACTGCTTGCGCGCCGCCTTATAGAGCTTATTGCGACGTCCCGGGTTATCTTCCTCGTCCTCGTCACTGTCGTACCCCATGTCTCGCATGATATTGCGAATGTTCTGGTCCGCTTTAGATCGTACGATGTACGCAGGGATGTCAAACCGTCTGGCATTGGACAAGATAGCAATGTCGGTCATGGTAAAGCGGGTGTCGGAGAGGACGATGATGCAGTCGAACACATAGAGGCCATGTTCGTTAAAGTACTGCCAGTCTGGCACCTTGAGTGTACCAGCACCGGGGATGTCAAACCAGAGAAGCTGGTGATTGTGATTCGGATCGGAGTACCTCGCTATCTCGAGGGTCGTTTCGGTGACGCCTGTAGCAGCGGCCCCAGAATCCCTATTCCGCAATCCACGAAAGGCATTGACGAGGGACGATTTCCCGCTCCCGGCGACACCTGTGACGGCAAAGTGGAAAAAGCCTTCCTGGTACTGAATACGCTCTTTTGCTTTTTTGAGCTCTTCCAGTGACGGCGTCACAACGGGCCGAATGCCCTTTTTCCATCGCAGCTCTGCTTCCTCCTTGGCAGCAGTTGCCTTCCGGGCCTCTGCTGCCGCTGCCGCCATGGCTTTCTCTGCCTCGGCCTGCGCAAGCGCGGCTTTCCGACGTTCTTCTTCGGCTGCTTACCTTACCCTCTCAGCTTCTTCTCTGGCAGCAACCTCCAACCGCCTCGCCTCCTCCTCAGCCTGTCTTGCTCGCTCTCTTTCCGCCGCGGCTTGCTGTACAAGCTTTTCAGTTTCTCCTCGTGCCGTGGTAGCAGCAGCTTCCGCTTCCGCCTGCGCCCTCATCGCACGCTCGTTAGCTTCAGCCATTTCCATTCTAACTCTTTCCATATCCTCTCGAGCTTTCGCAGCAGCCCGGTCGGCCTCCTCCTGAAGTGCTCGTGCACGCTGCCTCTCTTCCTCTGCTTCGCGCTGGATACGCTCCACCACCTCCCGCGCCTCCTTCTCCCTACGTTCAGCTTCTACTCGCTGTTCTTCAGCTTTTTCACGAGCCTCGATTTCCGCAAGAGCTTGGTTGGGAACATCCGGTTTTATATCTTCAGTGAAACACATAATGTCACGAAGAAAAGAGCCGAGGTTGGAACGCTAGTTTCGTACGTGCTTGGGGAGATTGTGCGAGTCGGGGTATTGGGTGAAGTCATGGTAGGGGATTCGGAGATATATATAGGGAGGACGAAGATAGGACGAGAAGAGGGCTTGGTCAACCGCCACCTTGGGCCGCCGTTCACGCACCATCCCCTCTGCCTTACACCGACGAGTCACCTTATCGATAGATAGGATAACTTCCGATCCGATTACCTAGTTCGAGTGTCGATGATCACGGAAGTTGACATTCAGGACATCAGCGAATAGCAAGGGACGGCTATTTGAGCGTGTCAAGTGACAGAAAGCAGCAGATAAAACTAGGCTCGCCCCACAATGCCGGACATGCCAACCTTCACAACACAAGCCATTGATGCCTGTGGAACGTGTTTGATAGTGCCAAATGCCATCGTGCGGATGTGAAGGGCAGAACCTTGGATAGTCAAAGAACGATCCGGTGGTGATGTGGTACATCAAGAATGGCGCAAGTGACTCTCACTTCTGTCCGAACTACGGCAAGACGATATCCCACCCCATCATTAGAGAGGCGATGAAGAAAACGTGTTTGAGATCTATCTCGATAAGTCGACCGACGATCCCTTCCCATGGCCCAGGCATTTGACCGTCGTGACACGTTTGAACCTGGATCCGATGGCTACCTGACAACAGAAACGCTCGTATCCTGGTGCGAAATCCAGTCAGGACACACGATGGTATAGAAATCACGAACTGAGTTGTGGTCTACCGAAAACTGTAGGAGTGATCGAGGTCGTATCAGTATATCAGAACGTCAGCAAAAGTCATGGAGCTGGAACGACGGGAGTGTCAGGCAATACGGCAGATAAAAATAAAAATAAAAGGTGTGTGGAGGGAGTCTCAGGCGAACTTGTCTCACGCCAAGTGTCTCATCACTGTCTCATGACACAGGTAATGTACAAGTTCAACGTTCAGCTTCATCGACCATTTCTTTAAGTTCTTGACGCCCTGACATATCTCTGATGTTGCGGTAATAAGAACAGAACAGGGACATGGTAGATTGTAAGAAGTAGGACTCCAACGTATGGCATGGCATTGAAATACATGATGTAGGTGAGATGTAATTTGACCGTAAGTAGTCAGGGTAACGCATTGCTCACAATTCCCCGCCTAGCTAGCGCGTGATCAACGATGTCTCTTCGCAACTCTATCTCATCGATGGCCCTCCTAGGCGTCTCTCCTCTGATAACAGACAGGAGCGTGTCATTGGAAACAATATAAACCCGCCTATCAGGTAAGTTTGCATTTTCGAGGTTCGACCTGACGTTCCTCCGGGTTTCGTTAATAAAATGCTGACGTGCCTCCCTATAAAGCCTGTTGCGCAACCCGGGATCGCTATCTTCATTGTCACTATTGTACCCCATCTCCTTCATCATATTCCTGATGTGCTGGTCTGCCTTAGACCGCACGATGTAGCAGGGAATACGGAACCGTGCGCAGTTACCAAGAATAGCAATATCCGTCATCGTAAAGCGGTTGTCGAAGAGAACAATGATGCAGTCGAAGACGTAGAGGCTTTGGGCATTGAAATACTGCCAATCAGGAATATTGAGCGTGTTTGCACCTGGGATGTCGTACCAAACAACAGGCTGCTGAGGGTCAGGGTCCGGATATCTGTCGAAAACAGAGGTCATTTCAGTGATACCGGTCGCAGCAGCGCCAGCCTCTCTGTTGCGTAAACCGCGGAATGCATTGATCAGGGAAGACTTCCCGCTCCCTGCGACACCAGCGACAGCAAAGTGGAAGAGGCCCTCTGTGTACTGCACCCGCCTTTTCGCGATCTCCCGCTCGACTAAATTCGGCACGACGACGGGTCGTATACCCTTTTTCCACTGTTTCTCTATATTCTCCTTCGCAGACATGGACTTCCTCATTTCTTCCTCTGCCCGTGATCGACCATTACAGGCATGAACAGCCACGGCCATCGCACCAACAAATACAATGCCGGCTGCCGCACACCCCAACGCAGCACCTAAGGTGACACTCTCACCCAAAGTACCAGCTGCAACGGCTGCCGCTTCGGCTGCCTTCTCGCCGGCAGCAAGGGCAACAGCTGCGGCGGCCCCACCTACAACAAATTCCTCGCCAGCAGCAACAAGGGGGAGCACCGATACAGGAAAAAGTCCCATTGCTTGGTAAACAGAGAAATTGCGAACCCAACAATTGGAACGGTTGGGGGGAATTACGAGTCAGGGTTACGCCACGCAGTTTCGACACTTAAATACCGCTCACTGGATCGCATGCCCTTCAATAGATAAATGGATTATGAAAGTGACTTACTTAAATCAGGTGGCGGCGATCACGAAGTCAACACACACTGGGATGCCAATCGGAGCTGTGGGAGGCTCATTTGGATTGCTAGGTTGATACAGTGCGCAGAGGGGAAGGCTGGAGCACAGCATGGAGGGCTCGCTCCGCGAACATGCCAAGGTCTGCAGACCAAATCTGAATTGCACAATATGTCTGATAGTGAAGAGTGCTACCGCATGGATGTGAAGGGTAGAGCCAGGTGCATCCGAAGAATGACCCAGTGGTGGTACGTAGTACATCAGCAATGTGACGAAAGGCTGAAGACGACCCTCATTAGGATCTGGAAGATCCGCCGATGGGGATTTGTGCGTGTTTGAGATTCGCCTGGATAAGCCGTCTGAAGTTCCCTGCCAATCGATCCATGGGGTCAAGCTTCTTCGTCTTACTTTGATCGTTGTGATATGTTTGAACCCTAGGCAACCTGACAACAAAAACGCCTGCGAACCTGCACACGGCGCGCAATAGTGGAGAACTTACAAATGAGTAATTGGTCTATGTACTACAATCTGCAGGCGTCACAGATTACAGAGTTGGAAAACAGATACGATGGAAGTGTCAGACAGAGTCCCAACCCGAACGTCTATACCACACAATGGACCTGGAACAGTAAAGACATGTAACTAGAGCGTCAGATACTTTACATAGCAGACAAAAAAAAAACTCGCGGCAGGTTTCAGGCGAACTTACTACTCAGGTAAGCCGTACTGTACAAGTCTGTGAGCAACTCAACTTCGTCAATGATCTTTTTCGGCCAATTATCCTTGGCCACCCCAGCAAGGGTCTTGTTGGAGATGATATATACTCGCTGGTCACGGAGGTTCGCCTCAGCTAAGTTGTTCTTGACGCTCTGACGTGTCTCCGATATATAATGTTCACGAGCAATATGATAGAACTGCTCTCGACAATCTGTGTCCTCATCAGCATCGTAACCCATGTCCTTCATGACGTTAAGGATATGTTGATCGGATTTGGAGCGGACGATGAAGGTGGGGATCTTGAAGCGGTCGCAGTTTGCGAGTATGGCCTGATCGGTCATCGTAAAGCGGTTGTCAAAGAGCACAAGGATGCAATCGAAGACGTAGAGACCTTGAGAGTTGAAATACTGCCAATCGGGGATCGTCAGCGTGCCAGAGCCGGGGACGTCGTACCAAGCGAATTGCTCGCTGTGTGCTAAATTAATGTATCTTGAAATTTCCAAGGTGGTCTCACTGACGCCAGTGGGGGCTGCACCAGGATCCCTGTTATTCATGCCGCAGAAGGCGTTGATAAGAGAGGACTTCCCGCTACCTGCGATGCCAGCAACGGCGAAGTGAAAAACGTCATCCTTGTACTGCACTTTCGCCTTGGCAAGCTGCACCTCCTCAACGGTAGGTATCACCACAGGCTGAATACCTTTTTCCATCCGTCTTTCCATTTCCTCTTTCTCAACCTGAGCCTTTCTTGCGGCCTCAGAAGCCTCCCGAGCTTGCCATTCAGCCTCTTCTTGGGCTAGCCTGGCCAGCTTAGCTTCTTCCTCTATGGCCCTCTGACACCTAGCCTTTTCCTCCCGAGCTGCGATGGCAGCAAGCCTCTCAGCCACCGCAGCAGCCTGAAACCTTTGACGTTCTTCCTCCATTTCTCGCGCAATCCTCTCAGCACGCTCTCGCTCTTCGCGAGCACGAGCCTCCGCCTCCTCGCGAGCTTTGCGCCCGGCCCGCTCGGCTTCTTCTCTCCATCCGACGCATCCGTTCCGCTTCCTCACGGGCAGCCTGGGCAGCTCGCTCAGCGGCAAGTTGGGCTTCACGTTCCCTTTGTCGCTGTTCTTCTGCCTCGCGGGCGGCACGTTCAGGCTGCTTCCCTTGCAAGACGTTCAGCCTCTTCAGCTAGCCTCTGTCGCTCCTCTGCCTCCAAGAAATCTGTTCGAGCCCGCAAGACCATCGTCCACTCGGGTTTCAGGATCGTGCGAATGATGATTGCCCATGTTGTTTAGTTAGTGTACATCCGATGTGAGGGTTGTGCGAACAGAGGTGGTAAACTAAATAATGACAGTAAGCGTTGGGTTAGCCACGCACAAAAAAATATCATCGTTACACACCTGGTGAATGTCAGGGGCACCACGTCCTCGAGGTGATGTATGTGTACTTAAATCAGGTGGCGGCGATCACTGAAGTCAACACCGCTTGGGATGCCAATCGGAGCTGTTGGAGGCTCATCTGAATTGCTAGGGCCCTGATGTGGAGCGCAGGGGGGGAAGGCATGGAAGGCTCGCTCCACGAATATGGCGAGGCTTGCGGACTAAATCTGGACCGCAGGAACGTGTCCGATAGTGAAGAGTAGTACCGCGTGGATGTGCAGAGTCGAGCCAGGTGCATCCGAAGAATGACCCGGTGTAGTACATCAGCAATGTGACGAAAGCCTGCTGAAGACGACCCTCATTGGAATCTGGAAAGAACCGCCGATGGAGATTCTGTGCACGTTTGAGCTTCGCCTGAATAAGTCGTCCGAAGTTCCCCGCAGATCGATCCTCGCGGGCAGGCTTCTTCGCCTTACTTTCACCGTTGTGATGCGTTTGAACCCAAGGCGACCTGACAACAGAAACGCCTGTGAACTCACACACGGTACATAATAGTGGAGAATTTACAAATGAGCATTTGGTCTATGTGCCGCAATCTACAGGTGTCAGGGATTACAAAGTTGGAAAACAGATACAATAGAAACGTCAGACGGAGTCCCAATCCGAACGTATAATGGACTTGGAACAGCAAAAGCACGAGACTATGGTGTCAGATACTTTACATAGCAGACGATAAAAAAACTCGTGGCAGGTTCAGGTGAACTTGCCACTGCGGTAAGCCTCGTTGTATAAGTCGGTGAGCAGCTCGACTTCGTCGATGATTCTCTTCGGCCCCTTATCCTTGACAACCCCAGAAAGAGTCTTGTTAGACACAATGTATACTCGTTGGTCGGGGAGGTTTGCCTCAGCCAAGTTGTTCTTGACGCTTTGGCGTGTCTCGGATATATACTTTTCACGGGCAACCTTATAAAATTGCGCTCGACTATCTGTGTCCTCCTCGTCAGGGTCATAGCCCATGTCCTTCATGAGGTTGAGGATATGTTGGTCAGACTTAGAACGGATAATGAAGGTGGGGATATTAAAACGGCGACAGTTGGCGAGTATCGCCTGGTCGGTCATCGTGAAGCGGTTGTTGAAGAGCACGAGGATGCAATCAAAGACATAGAGGCCTTGAAAGTTGAAATACTGCCAATCGGGGATCGTTAACGTGCCAGAACCGGGAACGTCGTACCAAGCAAATTGCTTGCTGTGTGCACTGTCGATGTATCTTGCAATATCCAAAGTGGTCTCGTTGACGCCGGTGGGGGCTGCATTGGAATCGCGGTTACTCATGCCACAGAGGGCGTTGATCAGAGAGGACTTCCCGCTACCAGCGATGCCAGCAACTGCGAAGTGAAAAATGCACTCCTCGTACTGCACCTTGGCCTTGGCGAGCCGTATCTCCTCCACGCTAGGCATAACCACAGGCTGAATGCCTTTTTTCAACTGTCTTTCCACTTCTTCTCGCTCCGCCTGAGCCTTTCTCGCGGCTTCAGCAGCCTCCCGGGCTTGTTGTTCAGCTTCTTCTTGAGCCTTCCTGGCACGTTGGGCTTCTTCCTCTATGGCCCTCTGACGTCTAGCCTCTTCCTCCCGAGCTGCGATAGCAGCAAGCCTCTTAGCCTCTGCAGCAGCCTGCAATCTTTGACGTTCTTCCTCCATTTCTCGCGCAATCCTCTCAGCACGCGCTCGCTCTTCGCGAGCACGAGCCTCCGCCTCCTCGCGAGCTTTGCGCTCGGCTCGCTCGGCTTCTTCTCTCCATCGACGCATCCGCTCAGCTTCCTCTCGGGCAGCCTGAGCAGCTCGCTCAGCGGCAAGTTGGGCTTCACGTTCCCTTTGTCGCCGTTCCTCTGCCTCGCGGGCGGCACGTTCAGCTGCTTCCCTCGCATGACGTGCAGCCTCTTCAGCTTGCCTCTGTCGCTCCTCTGCTGCCTGGCGTTCCCTTTTGGCCTGCTCGATCGCAGCCCAGTCAGGTTCAGATTCGTGTGAATGATGACTGCCCATCTTGTTCAGTTAGTGTACAACGATGATGTGAGAGTTGTGCGAGCGGAAGTGGCCAACTAAATAATGGCAGCAAGTGTTGGGCCAGCCACGCACAAACAGATATCATTGTTACACACCGGTGGAGATGAGGGGCACCACGTCCTCGAGGTGATGAATGTGGTAGCTCGTCTGGACTATCTATCAAATGTGCGTCGTGAAATGCGACTTCACACCTGAAAACATGACAAATCGGCATCCCCAATGTGCTTCGAAAGTACCACGATTTCGTCTGTTGTACGAAACGAGCTGAGAATTTTGAACGTCAAAAGAAGTCGAGGAAGTTTGAAATGTTGGCCCCAATACGTCGACCTGATCCCTGAATCATTCGATGGGCATATTCCGAGTCAAGTGGGAACACACTGCGGCAGGTCGCAACGCCGTTCCGATCCAAGATACATATGTGGTTTAGGGTGTCCGGGCCCTGAGGCATGAGTACTTGCCGAGTTCGCACGTACTACAACGCGCCCACAGCCTGTGACAGCTGTGTTTATGTACAGATCGATGTGAGCGCTTCATGGACAGCACACTGTACCGATGCGGCGTGCTTCGCGGTGCCCTTTCGTACCACCTGTCACGGTGAAGTCCCATCTTCTCTTCCAAACTAGCTGCGCACTTGTAGGTATTCATAACTATCCATTGGGCGATATGTTTACCAGCACCCCATCATCTCACAGGGAAGGACTCAGAGCCCTCAGCTGCCTATCCATCCGCTATGACCAACTTCTCTCTCAACACATCGGGTGTAGCAGGAGTATTCGGTGGCGAGGAGGCAGTCGCTACCATGGCCACCGTACACGTTTACGAACACAGGAAGTGGCTGGGCTGGTACAACTCCCCCGGCTCGTACACAGTCGCCAAACGGTATGGCCTACTTGCCAACTCAAGATTTTTTTCCGGTATCTTTCCGGGGATTCACACAGACCCTGCTACTCTCTTCGAGCTAGATGGATGGAGGGGTCCCAAGTTTAGAGCTGCCCACTCAGGAAGCATCCTCGATGAGACTGGTCACCTAGCTTCATTGTTCTTAAAAGAATGCTCAGACTTGCCTGCAGACGCCGTGCCCGGGAGGCAGACAAAGCAGATAGGTGTGACCGTCGCCGAGCTCCATCATGTGCCAGAAGAGCACATGTATCCCCAGCCTCTCGATATGGCCTCTCCTATCGTTGCTCTCATCCCGATCACAGTCAGCATCGGTACTTCTGTTACGTGCGCCTATTTCCACGACTGGTTTTCGTTCTCCATGATCCTTCTTGGCACTATCGCTAGCGGCGTTTCTTGCTTGGTCATCGGGTCTGGTAAACTCACCTTCACGCATCCCAAGGCAGCTGATGGCTGCCCTCCTGGAGATGGCGTCCTTGGTACCGATAAGGAGATCGCCGTGTTGAGAGGCCCGGAAGGTGCTGTTAACTGCATAACTCGTGGCAAATTTTCTTTGCTTTTCAGCAGTGAACCCCATTATGACAATATCGGGTGGTGTTCAGTGCTCTTAATGATCCAGTTCGTCGGCCAGCTGCTCCTTATTCCACAGGGATCGCTCTTCGGCCAGTCGTTGTTCCTTGCTTCCCTTGCTGTATCTTGGGCATACAACCTGTGGTTGTCTGCCTTGGATAAGGAGAAAATCCAGAGAGCGATGTTGATGACACGTGTGCTACGCCGTCCCAAGATGAAAAGGTACCTGCTCGGTACGCGGACCTCGATGGCTGTCTTCGTGACTCTCCTTCTCAAGCCTGAAGAACCAAGGTTGATTCTTGACCACCTAATCTCCAACGACACACCGCTCTGGAACTCGTTTAAGGAGACCATTTCCCAGCGCCTGTGTACCATGGAGAAGGAGAAGCTTCATTTCGATCCTCCTGATCAGGATCGACCGTCTACCGTGTCAGACGAGAAGTTGTGGCGAACCCTCTACAACGACGCTCAATTCAGCTTACAAGGCATATCTCGAGTACTGCAGGGCACAGTGACCTTCCCTATCCGGGATCGTTATCGCTGCCACCCATTTCCCTGCATCATCTGGATTCCGTTCTTACCGCCTTGGATTCCACGCATTACTATGGCTGTCTTCTTTACCATCGATATGTCCATGCATCTTAGGGCTTCTTACGCTCACAAAACAGGTTGGCTGCATCATCCATGCTGGCGTACCGCGAGTTCCGTGCTGCTGTCGCTTGCCTTAGCAATTGTATACCCATATCCATATTCTGTACGAGGCATATAATAACCATACTTTGTACTGCAGATGCAGCTTCGCATCTCAATCTCATGCCTGGTGGGTAGTTTTCTGTAAAAGAACGAAGGGACGGTATTCTACCGGAAATGAAGCAGAGATCGCGGTGAGCACGGAACGAATACTAACAACGGGACGTTGCGACTTCAGGGGGAGGGTGCCAACTAACCACAACAATACCTTCCATGAATGTTTCATGCTAGATTAATATTGCACTTTTACTACGCTACGGCCAGTGCATTTTCTGACGTCGCAAACTATGACATTTGAGGCCACATTCATTCCGCGACTCACTCATTCTCCAGCACCCAGCTCTCCACTCTCCAGGCATTCTCAGATCTCCAACATGCAGCAGTAGCCGATAAGCGCTAAGCGCTGAGCTGTCATCTATCATTATGTACCTTTCATTAACTATTGCCGGCACACGTTGTAATGCACCTAGGCCCCCAGAGGGATGGCGTTTCCCAGGTATCGCAATTGCTATTATTCCCTTGTACTTTTTTCGGGTCCAGTATCCTCGCGGCGCTCTCACCCATATACCCTTTGTCCTCAAAACACAGCTCTGGGCTTCAGCTTCAGCTCGGTAACATGCCCTCCATCCCCCAGGTTACCGCTGCTCTCGCCACCCGATCACTTCTGTTCCACGCACCGCTGGGTAAATCCCGTTTCAGCTTAGACACATCCGGCGTCGCTGGTGTATTCGGTGGCGAGGAGGCAGTCTCTGCTATGGCCACCGTACATGTCTACGAACACAGGAAGTGGTTGGGGTGGTACAATTCTCCTGGCTCGTATGAGATTGCCCAGCGTTATGGCAGACTTGCCAGGTCAAAATTCTTCGACGGTCTCTTCCCAGGTGTTCACGCGGACCCCGCCACACTCTTCGAGTTGGATGGCTGGGTAGGTCCCAAATTCAGAGCTGCGCACTCCGGAACTGTTATCGACGAGACGAGTCATTTGGCGGCATTGTTGATGAAGGAATGCTCAGACATGCCTGGCCTGGAAGTGCAGGGCAGGAAGACACGACCTGTTGGCGTCACTATTGCTGAACTTCGTCATATCCCTAGCCTCGAAGAATATCCCGCTCAATTCCGCACTCTTGCACCCATCTACGCCAGTGTGCCCATTCTAGTCAGCTTCATCACATGTGTTATGTGCCTTCTAGTTAGCGATTGGTTCTCCTTCTCCATGATCCTGCTTGGCATCATCGTCAGCGGCATATCTTGCCTTGTGATCGGCTCCGGGACGTTTCTCTTCACACACCCTGAACCTGCAGAAGGATCCCCCCGCGGAGATGGTATCCTCTGTTCTGACAAGGAAATTATCGTTTTGAGGGGAGAAGAGGCTGCAGTAAACTCGATCACTCGTGGCAGGTTCTCTTTGCGATTCGACAGCGAGCCTCATTACCAGAACATTGGGTGGTGCTCCGTTTTGCTGATGATTCAATTCATCGCGCAATTGCTTCTCATTCCTCAGGGTACTCTCTTCGGCCAAATGATGTTCGTTGCGTCCCTCGCAGTCTCATGGGCGTACAACCTATGGCTGTCCGCGTTTGACAAGGAGCAGATCCAGAGAGATATCCTCATGAAGAACGTTCTTCGCAATCCGCAGCTCACTAAATACGAACTTGGCACCCGCACCAGTATGGTGGTGTTTGTTCTTCTTGTTTTGCAGGCAGAAGAGGCGGACAAGATTGTGAATTCTCTCCTGCCTAATGACACCAAGGCATGGAGGAAGTGGAAGGACGCCATCACCAGTCGAATCAAAAGCGCTAAAGACTTCCACTTTGACCAGGCCGACTGGAACGATGATAGCTTCACTGATGGAGATAGACGGCTGTTGAGAACTCTCTTCCAAGACGCACAGGACGCCTATGCGGGCTTCAAGAGGCTACCACAGGGCGTCAGACTACAAAAGCTTATGAACCTAACGACCGGGATGCGCTTATCACCTCCCCCTGCGTTTAAGATACCGCTTGTCTCGGTATACCTCTGTTTCTGCTACACTTGCTCATACCTCGTACACTAGGCCATTTTGCTTTTTTGATTTGATGGACTGATACCGCTAGCACGCACACGTTTAGAACGCAATGCATACCGTGGATTCGAGGTCGTGTACATCATCATCTTACATAAGTGTTCTTGTATCTATTAGTCTGTGACCCCCGTTTGCTTCCGTTCATAACCCAGCACTTGACCAACAGCATGACATACATTGTATAGTCATTGTCAATAAAATTGCTGTTCATTTGTGGTCTGGAGTGGCAGCCCTTAAGAATGTTGTTCGAGACACCACATTTCCATAATACATAACAATGATATGTAATGACAAGTCTGGGCATCTCTTGTCCTTCAGCATCACACGATGTTCTACTAAAAGACTCGATCCAACTGGCTCGACCGAAGAAGTTGGTAGCCAGCTCAAATGCAAGCCGAAGCACCCTGGAGGCGTATGACTAATTTGACTTCAGCTTGAGTGATATCCGCGGGGTATCTTGTTTCGGAAACGACTGCGAGACTCGCCACTTGATGGGGCAGAAGTAATGCGGCCGTTATGAGTGAGGCAAATCTCAGATTTGTAGCTTGTTGGCCTCCCCAAGTCGGCCGCTGCGGTGCCCGACTTGGAGAGGCAACAATCCCTAAATCAAAGTTCTACCTCGATGATCGAAAACTAAAGGACGTTTAGCAGTGCAAGACACGGAGGCAGCCGAGGCTGAGTACGTTAGAAGAGTGAGTAGCCTACTCCACGCCTGCTCGACTTTTCCCGACTCATCGGATCCAGCTGGGTTACCCCAAACTCCGGGACTAGTTGACAGAACACTCGAGAAGGACACTTCGGAGGCACCAACTATTTCGCACCGGGAAGGCGGTGATTGTCATCAGGTTAGGTTTGGGACCTGCTAACGCTTGTGGGATAGGAGGAACGACTATCTTCGTTTGACTCTTGGAATCTGTGTAGGTCGAGTTGCCGGTGTTAGTGTCCCTGCCATGCCCCCTCCCTCTCCCCCCACATCTTATTAAGCCGGCGAGTAGCCGATGCACAGGCCCAGCTTAGCGGGCATGGTGAGACTCGCTAGTAGTCAAGAGAATGACTAGACACTGCAAGTAACCTTACCACTATGCGATCTAGCCTACTGTCTGAAGACTGTTGCTGGTCGTGCGCCTGTGACATGATTTCTTGAAATATAATTGGCGGATCACATACGACTTTTTTTTTTGGCTCATATAATTATATCAGCCTGAGAGGCTGGCATGCGTACGAAAGGCTCAAGTCCTAACCACGGGATTAACAACAACAAAAAGCTTATGAAGATGATCACTTGAAGTTACAGTTATTGGAAACTCGCCGGTACCTCGTAGTTCCAGTCACGTTGTAAAAGTTGGGCGACAGTTGGGTGAGGTTGCATGATGACTGCACGAGGAGAACTGAACAGCCTGCCAAGTGAAGCGGCTCGGGTCGGGCTCGCTATCTTGTTGCAATTTCCTGGGGTCGTCCTTGTAGTACAACCTGCGTCCTATTGTGGCGTGATTCCAACCCTGCCGGTAAAGGTGAGAAACGAACTTTAGCGCGCGCGATAGTACTTGATCAATCCGCTTTCGCGCTTCGCTTACGACCCCATTCTCGGTCTCAGTTCGGCCGTCCTCCCAGTTCAAATGAGAGTACCACGATGAGGACGTTACTGTATAGGGACTATTTACGTTTTGTTGCGGGCATCAGCATCAGTGAAACAACAGCCGAAGCTATCAAAAATTACCATGTCGTCACCGAACTACCAGTTTTTACCGACTTTTACTAGCGAAGACCAAGTCTAACCCCATTAAGATGTGGCCAGCGGCTCAGCGTTTTAACTTTAATCACTATCTCTGACAACGGTGTATCAAGCATGGCAGGCCTATGATAATCTCATATCAACAGTCTGATAATGAGTACACATAGTACTACGATAGACGCAAATCATCCAAATACAAACCGGGCAGAATGGAGGGAGGAGAATATTACTGGTAGCTAAGGACAGCATGGAATGTTTCCTTGTCTGCAAAACTATTTATGTAGAACTTGTGACCCATGTCCAAGCAGTTATCGCATGTCATGTTTCTGGGAGACTTGTCACTGAACTTTGGGACGAGCTGAACAACTTGTTGTACATTATCAAGAGGGATGATGTCTCCAAGTGGCTTGGCATTGGATTGGAGGCAATGTTGGACTAAAAACATCTTGATCTTTGGGGCAGGAGAAACAACACAGATGTTGTCTATGATGGCATAGTGCATATTGGAGAAATTGAAGAATTCAATGTAAAGGAGAGGTGGAGATGCAGGGTTAGTGATAGGCTGCAAGATCACTTGGACTTGAGCAACAAGGTATCCTGTGGGGAAAAAATAAGTAGAGAAGCCGTTGATATGATTTGCTACACACATTCTGCATGTGGATCAGCTGAAAGGATATCACCACTTTCATGGGTAATCAGTACAGTGTTTGCATGACCAGAGGGCAACATGGGGCTGTGAGGGGCTGCCTGGACAGTTTGGATGGGCACAACAAGTTGTGCACCTTGCATGGAACATTGCTGAATCCACAACTTCTCCCAGATGTTTACATCACAGAAGGGGAGGGGACAGTTGGGTGGAGAGGTGCAATGACCATTATGAATGGTATTGGTATGACTGGAGAAAAAATCCCCCAGTGTGGGGAGGAAATCATCAAGCCCAAGAAGGACCATTGCATTGCAAAGTGGAATGACTGGAAAGTGAGGGCAAAGAGTAAGAAGAATTCTGGAGTTTGTGGGCAAAGCATGAAGCTGAGGATTGTCAAAAATGGACCTCTCTGAGTGACTGGTGCCTGCATACTGTTTGATGGACAGGACACTTGAGATCCATGTAGCTTCTGGGTAGTGAAGTGCCATGAGGTTGGCCTCATCAGCCATTTCATTGAGAAGTGGCAAGTCTATAGATTTGAGAGTAGTATAGAGCTGGAAAAGGTGCTGCTTTTCTTGTCAATCAAGAAATTGGCAACACTGGCTGTGGTAGTCTCAATGATTTGACAAATGGTATGGCACCTTGACATGCATAATGTGACAGCATTCAGTTATATCACTGCTCCACTGATAAGGCATGCCCATTTTGCATATGCTCCATGCAACATGTTGAGCCAGCTCAAGCTTTGGTATTTGGAAGTGATTGAGGGGGCCATTTGTTCTGACACAGCCATGAGCAGTGAGGATACTGGATTTGTAATGGTGGAATTTGCAGAGGGCCTCATTCAGGGCATGGATTGTCTTGTCAAAATGAAAGAGGCTTTGGGCAAGAAAAATAAACTCTGTGATTGCATGTAAAGCACAAAGCACATCATCTGGCAATGCTCCTGCTGCTACAGCTGGTAGCACTTTCTCCAGGTCATGGTGTTTGCATCCAGTGCATTGTTTGAGTTTGGAGATGCCATTTGCCCAGTGTCTTGTTCCTATCCTTGGTTGGAGGGCTGCAAGGTGACAATTGACCTCCTCACCCCTGACAATATTGATCACCCACTGCAAACAGTGGTCAAAGTAAAATTTATGCCACTGGTGCAGGGCTTCAGGGGTAAGGAAGCATGATGGGCACATGTTGCCCCACACCTTCCAGAATGGCTCCATGATGCCATTCAGATGCTTTGTAAGGCAAAATTTATGGAATGCAGTGATATCACATGGGTCATATATTGCAACTGCATCTTGTATACCTTGAAGTGTGTGTTGACAAACACAAAGTGGCTGACATATTGTGTCACCAAACTGTTCAGCAGTTGCAAGTGAGATTGGTAAGTTCTTTGACAAGACACAGGCAATCAGAAGCTGTTCAGGATAGTTGGCAATCCAAGACATGAGAGGAGTGTGAATGACCTGAAGATTTCCAATTGGGTTGGACATGACTTTGCCATCTTGATTGGCAATAACCAGGTTCTTCATGATGATGGATATAGCAAAATGATAAACATGTGCGGACAATACAGCCTAAACAGCCTGAGGCACATTGCGAAATTTTGGGATCAGAAGGTAGGCAGCTAATGTGAATGAATGAGAAGTTGCCTTCATATGTATGCTGGCATGTATGTTTGCAATGGAGAGTAATAGCAGGTGCATTTCCTTGTTGCTGGTTCTGATCATTAATGGGGTTTTATCTGATGCCCAAATCATGCTGAGAAAAGAATGACCTGGTAGTAAAGAGTCCTGTCACATGCATCAATCAACCTGGCCTGGCTATCAACATACTTAATGACTCACCTGTGTGCTCCATGCATGGTTGGCACTCATGAACTCACCATATACATGTTGTTGTCCCTGATCTGTAGCTTCAAACTCCCAATACAGGGAGAGATCTATGCAGTGTGTGAATACAGGGTTACTGAATAAATGCTTGATCACCTTGAGTCCATCTTGCCAGTGCAAAATGATAGGGGTTGTTGTTTGGTAAGGTGCCACCTTGATTTCTTGATAATGCCAGCATGGCACATTGGGCAGCAATTCAATATGTGCATGGAGATCTTTGGCTGTGTTAAATGAGATGGGATGATCCTTGTTCTACTGAGCAATCAGTGCCATTTCCATTCTGGATCAGATACTTACATGTTGCAGCCATAAGTAACCATTGATTTCCTTCTGAGACAATACACCACTTGCAAGCCAGTTTGCAAGCTGCCATTCACTCTGAGACATGAATGGGAAATAGATGTTTTCAGAGTTCTGGGTATCAGCATGTTGATCAGTGTCCATGTGCTGGAGCAAGTTCATACCACCATCATGCTTGGCAGCCTGATTGGGATGATACACTCACTGGTGGTTGAGGGGAGAGTCTGTGGAGGACTGGGGTGCTGATTGAACAGGATGAGAGTCCACAACATTGTTATCATGAGCATCACTAAAAATTGTAGTCTGATTGATGAGTCCTTCATTGTTGAAAGGGACACTATCCCTATCAGATATAACTATGGAAATGGTAAGACAAGTGACAATGTCTGAGTCAGTGATAACAAGAATTGGACATACTATCCTGCACAGCATCCATATCATCACTGTAGTCATTTGGAGGTTGGAAGTCACCTAGGTCAGGTAGAAATTCTATGGCCCATTGCCCACATTGCCCAGTATCTGACAAATGCAGGGCCACAGCATCAGCACTGGGAAATGTGAGGTGACAGTTTGGGCAAAAGATGTCTGGGTATTTCTGGGTCTGGAAAGACAATGTAAAGTTAGTAAATTCTGTCATTCTAAGTCAGAGAGCTTGGGTAGTGGGGGCTTGACTCACAGAAAGGGTACCTATCTGCCTTTTAAGCCTACCCAACATGGAACTCAAGCTGGGTTTTGCAAATATGGGGCTTGGGCCTGAGGGATTGCTAGATAATCAGCTGTGAAGCTTGAAAACAGTTGAACCAGAACAGTTTTTTTTTGGTAAGGTTAGGGTTAACCACTCAACAGGCAACCACATCACAGGATGTCATCAGGCACAACAGAATGGCTCTCCTCACCATGTTTAAATACTTCAAGTGTTTTACCATCTACACCCCCATCCTCCAAACTTACTATGCCATCATCTCCTGACCACATGAACAAGCCAACTACTCCAGTTAAGGGGTCAACCAGTCATGTTGTCCTACCATTGATGAGTGACACAGGTCACTCCCCAAACAAGTGAGCACACTTTGGGATGTCCTTGCCTTCAGATGATTCAGACTGTCCAAATAGAAAGCTTAAAGGCTTGGTTACCATGGTAAGTCATCCCTATTAATTGCATGCATCCTCATGATGTTAAGATAACCACAATCTGAGGCCACTTGTGCCCAGTGTAAGAGACTGAAGAAAATTTCACTGGGAACACAGCAGTAAGTGTGCAAAAATGATAAACAAATGTAAACAATAAACAAAAGCAAACCAAGGACACTTAGAGCAAAGCTAAGTGTCCACTACATGTCTGTAGGGTTAGATAGAAATAAAACAGAGGAAAAATGCAATCTGAGGTGCACAGGCACCTAATATGAACACATGAAACTAATGTCAATCTTGGATGGGTCTCACTTAGGAAAAGTAAAGAGGTTGAACATCTCCAATCCCTTTGCATATTGGAGCTTGCTTGAGCAAGTCATGCAGCTCTTGCTGCACAAGCCAAGTACCACTGCTTACAGATTCATGAAATTGATATCATGTGCATGATTGCAGTTGATGAGTATGAGGAAGCAACAGCCAACCTCAGGAATGCAGACTGTCAGATTGGTGAGGTGCAACATGTTCTTACTGGTGATGGCATGATGCTTTCTGAGGCAAAAGTTGTACTTCCATCAATTGGTGATGATTTGGATGATGATGGGGATCATTCAAGCTTTGGTGGATGTGACTTTCCCTTGGCTTCTTACCCACCATCCTTGGATGTGTAGATACATCAACTGCTTTTTTTTCATTCATTTCAATTTTACACCATGTCTACTGATCCAGTGTATGCTGTTGTTTGCTACTGTTTGCTGTACTTCATGACTATGAAAATACAATATGTCTGATTTCAATGACTGGATGATGAAGATCAAACCCTTCAATCCAATCAGCAACCATGCTGCAAGTCCACAGGCTTCAGTTCTTCACACATAACAATCAACTTGAGGCCTAGGTGCATGCCATTTCAAGATCAAAATGAAGTAGGTGTACATTTCATTTTACTTGAGGTCACCATTAACTTATGAGTTTCAATTGAAGATGCTTGCCATCAGGAGAGCTCACTGCTGATAGCAGACCCCACTGGATAGGCATGACCTTAAGGCAGAATATATGGTGACACATCAGAAGGGTCTGTATTTGATCACCAAGACACCACCTGTTCACTCTTGAGGATGTTTCATGTCTACCCTTTTCATTCCAAGTCCTCCTCTCTCAACACACTTGGATGGCCTCAAGTAAGTTCTATCTACCTGTGGTTGTATAATACTAACTATTCAAGATTCTTCTTCCCATAACTGTGTGAGGGGAAGTGGTGCTCAAATCCATGGTTGAGGGCACACTATGATGATGAGCCTCTGTTTCTGGTGGATCTTCCCTCCTTCCAGGCCCTCTCAACCCATTCCAACCTCTCCCATATGAAGGGCTATCACAAATCAATGTACTCTGACAATCATCTGAAGCCTCCTTGCAAGCCTCCCTCTGACATACAGTAATCTCTCAAACACTGAAACCATGTACAATCAGCCCTTCCCCCCACTTCTACAAGCATCTGGAACATCTGTGCCAGTCCTATATACCAAGCCTGCTCTCCCCCTGCTTCCACAGGTGTCACCAGTGGATGATAGGCTGAGGGCTGCAGCCCAGATGATCCAGGTGGGTGGCAAGACTAGTGGTACTGCTTGCAATGCTGACACTCATGACAGATGCTGGGTCAAACAACCTGATGTACTCACTCAACACCAACAGCACCATGGTGCCCCAAAGCCTCCTTCTCAGGACTGTTTATGTTCATTTGGTGATTCACTCTATTCCAGAGTGTATTTGTCTTGGACATCATCTCAGACCATGTCAAGACAAAGTTCCACCTACTCTGCATACACTGATGAGCTGACAAGGACATGTGCACCATGCAGAATGCACAAAAAATCACTTGATGATTCATGCCTAGGTTGGTACAAAGAGGACATGCAGGAAGTCTTGAAGGAAGCATGAGTGATGGTGGTGTACAAAATGGTACACCACAAAGGTTGGCCAGTAATATTGAATTTGGGCAGTGCTTGGGCAGTGTGGAAGCTAGTGATGCAAGAAGTCATAGCCCAAGCCAATATTAAATTTGGCACAGGTACATCATCCCCTGACTCCTACCAATCAGTTACCAAATAGTTGCATAGATGTGAAACCAATGAAGGGTATCAAGACCTGAGTATGGTTTATCATGATGTTAACTTAACTAATGCTAGCTATTAGCTTTTAAGGACTCTTACCAACATTCACTCTGATGCTGCTGAGGCAGCTCAGAAATACACTGAAGAATTATTGAAGCTAAATGATCCTTCCCTACTTGCTAACCCTGAGAAGTACTGCCAATGGAAAGAGGGAGAAGTTACACATGTAACTATGTAACTAACATTGCAGGTAGGGCTTTCTTCCTACATGAGTACAATGACCAGGTATGTTGTTTGAACACTCGAGATGCCTGTGCTTACCTTTTGCAGGGGGCTGTTATTTTCTGGTTCAGAAATGCTGTTCTCGAGAGGTTCCACACAACATTCTGGTACATGCATGCCTTATTGCCCATCAAACATCTTGAAGACCACTTCCAAACCACACTGCTATGGATGTATTCAATTTCAGCAGTCGCAGTAAGTTGCATCCTCATATTAGGCTTGTAATCTCATGATGTGAATAGCTACTTTGTGCTCTCCATTGTGAGGTGAATCACATGGAAGGGCTCCACCTCCAGCAACCCACATTCACCAGTAAGGAGTATGCCCCCCTCTGTGAAGACTACTATGAGGGCATGGTTGACATGCTGAACAATGCTGCGATTGGACCCACTTTTCATAGCCACCTTGATTGGCTTCACCTCTGCAGTTTGTAAGTTGCAGAATCTAGCATGCACAAACTAACCTACTGAAATCATACTGCAGGGAAGTGTCAAAGACAGCAATCCATATGCTTGCTTCCCCTTGTATGCAGTGCACTAAAATATTCATCCCCCCTGCTGAAGACATCACTGCCTATGAGGCTGGACCATCATTCATCCCCCAGCCTGGACCTTTGTCATTTGTCTCCCAGCCTGGACCTTCATCATTTGTCCCCCAGCCTGGACCTTCACTCATCTCCCAGTCTGCTCCTTCATTTGTCCCTAGACCTGGACCTTCTTCCAAAGCATCTACATACCAAGACAGAGCAGCAGAATACATGTGGTCAGAGGACCAGCGGTAGGATCCCAGTACTTTGCAGCTAGTTGTAGATAAATCATGATTTGTACTACATACCAATATGATTGCATGCATTTCGATTTTCCTGACTGTGTGATAAGATAAGTTCAAAGATGGTCACATTGATTGCAGTACAGAATGATACAAGAGTCACTAGTCACAAATGACACTGACCCTGATGACTAAGATTGGTAATGTTTGGTACCTTGTGGTTCTTCATGGTCTCTGACCAGCTGTAATGATACTGTACCATGATTTTGGTAACTAGTGATACAGAGCTCAGATACTACTCACTACCACCATCCAGCCTACTGATGAGCATTTTCATTCCAAATGAGTTTCTATGACATAGCTCTGCATTTTAGCCTTTATGATAGCAGATGGACCAACCCAAATATATGTTGTCTCCATCATTCTAGATAGTCAATTTGTGATATATCATTGCGATTTTGAGACTTATGAGTGATTTAACTTACCAGTACCCAAACCCAGATGTGGCAATCAGCCATCCTAATATGTGTCCAAGATCTAGATCAACACATCCATTTACCATAAGGACATGTTCAACTGTATTCAATGCATCTTTCTCAACACACTCTTCCTCTCCCATCATCCATGTACTGTTATGCCGATGACTCGTATTGTGTCACAAATTGAGTGCAATGAAGCACAAGCACGTGACTGCATGAGAAGTGATGCATAATTTAACTTCACTAGTGATGGAACACTAGTCTTGGCCAACCGAAGTCATACTGGCGAGTCCTTGTTGGTACAGTGCACAGAGCTAAGGGTGGTTGCAAAGTAGACTTCGAATGAGGGACTGGTACGATACATGCGGGTTTATATATGTATGTACAGTACCGTACATCAAACATTTGAATACAAGGTTAACTGCTGTGAGTCAAAGTGAGGTTCAGTGGTGAAAACCAACCAAAACCAACACAAAAGACAATGAAAGCGAGTGGTGGTGTGCCTATGTGGTACCTAGATGGTAGAACCTGTTCTTTGGGAGGGTTTTTTGTGAGCTACAACACTCAAAGATGAGTGCTGAGGGTTGGGGGTGCTCCTGATGAAGAGGGAGCAAGAATGTGATAGAAAGCGATAGGGTAGACTGCTGTCAGCCTACAGAAGGATGGATGGTGACTTAATTCAATGTCCTAAGCTGTACTGAGCTCAGGGAGGGCTTGGAGCGAAGTATATGGATGATAGATGATGATAAGCAAAGTAGATGATAGCTAGACCCTTAATAAAGTCTCAACTATCAAAGCTGATGAATGATTTACTGAGAGATGATAAATTGCAAGCAAGAGGGGCTCTCTGATGTCTTCTTTTTTTTTGCTACCTAAGTACAGTGACTTATATACAGTACAGGGGCGTTGCCTATGGAAAACAAGGTGCAAACACTTGGTAAGCGATTGGTAACTGATGAGTAAGGAATGTAAGCGATGGGTAATCGTCTTGGAAAGCATTGGTAAGCATTGGTAAGGATAAGTAAGCCAAAAGGCGAAGAATCAGTAAGCAAAGTCAAAAGATTGGTAAGTATTGGCAATAGGTGAGTCAAAGACAGTCAGAATGTCACAGTATGAGTCAAGCAATGTCAGGAACCAAGGAAAGCGCACTGGAATCGCATTAGGGGGAGGCTGTGCATGTCACATCTTGAAGAGATCACTTCTAGGCCAAAGTGGGATGACAGAGAGGCAGCACTGATCTGATGCCAATATAGTACATCCAAAAGCGGACAGGGTGAGTCAGATGTCAACAGGGGTCAAGCTTTGGGGGTCTGTGGGGTGACAGGAGCATAGGGGATTGCAACTTTCCCCCCCAAACCATCCTCTCAGTGAAGCAAATAAAAACTTCATGAATGAGGCTCTGTTGGAAGAGAGGATGAAGGGGGAGCTGTCTTCTGCTGTATCTTGCAACAAGGAGGCAAGATGTGCATCATACTCGTCATGGATGCAATCAGGGAGAGTGGAGAACAGTAGATTATACTGTAGCTGTCGCAATTTTGGAAGAATGATGGACGAGACTGGTATGAAGACTGTTGCAGGGGGCAGGGAGGAAGGATCCATATGCTTCTTGGACTGGAGAGACTGAAACGACCACATAAGACCTTTCCAAGCGAATGACAGACCTGAGGCAACCAAAGAACGTCCTCCTGGAGGTCATACTGACAAAAAGAACATGCTGTCCAAGCTGGATGGGCTGAGAGGGGGCAGATGAGGGTGGGATGTACCAGGATGCTTCAGGATGGAAGCTGGTAGGAACTCCTGGTAGATATATGTAGCCATGGTCCCTAGCAAAGGGGACAAGCGAAATGACTGATGTGGAGGCAGCCATATCAGAAGAATTAGCGAAATGAGCGTCTTTTGGAGGGAGTGCTGTAGAAATGTGTGGAGTGTGCACAAATCCTTTCCAATCTTGGAAGGTAGGATCGCATGGCTGAGCACTACAAGCGAGTGTGGGAATGGTTTCGGTGTCTGCAGAATTGGTGGAGATACGTCGAAAACCTGGAATGCTGTACATGGGTGCTTAAGAATTTTATTGGCACTTAACCTGCCTCCTCCTTTTTCTTTGGCACTGACAACCTGTTCTTGTGTGAGGGATGACTGCTGACATTGCTGGCTGTCCTTCTTCACATGAGGGCTATGGTCTTCACCTCCATTCATCAGCTACATCCATGTCCACCTCACCAAACACCTTTGGTGTGTGACATCCACCAGCAAGAAGAAATGCAATCGTCCCCGATTGTGACCAATGCAGGGAACCCAGGGAAGACAGAAAAACCCGAAGGAAAATGAAGAAAAGAATGAGAGAGGATAAAGGTAAGAAATCAAAAGAGAAAGGAGAAATCATGAATAGTCATCTGAGTTGTAGTCATTTTCATTATTGTGTTCTTGGTTTTCCTCATCTTTGTCTTCATCATCATTTTCATCATCATCATTGCTGTTACCTCCCCCTTCTTCCTGGCTATCTTTTTCCATAACTTCTGGTAAGGGAGTGTGTCAGGAATAATAGGGAATGAGTCGAAATGCTGCGACTCCCTGAGCTGAAATGGTGCCATCAAGTTCTTTAACAACATAGGAACCTCCCTTGGTGTGACGAACAACTTCATAGGGACCAAGGTAGCATGGCTTTGATTTACGATCCAGTTCCTTTTCCACCTGAGTGTTGCGAACCAATACCAAGTCTCCTGGCTCATAAGCAGACTTCACCAATCGTAATGCATACCTCCTCTCAAACTGACCCTTGGAGCGCAAACGAGATCTCTGCAGAGTGGTGAAAGCAGCATTGATGTCTTCCTCTCTCTTCTCCAACTGACGAAATGCAAAGTGCGAGGAGCTCCTGAGAAGTCATTCCAGACTGGAACCCTTCAATGAGACATGTAGACTCAAAGAGATCAAAGGGCAAGACTGGGATCAAGACTGTGGAGCAGGAAGTAAGGGCTGAATCCAGTGGAGCGACAAGTAGTAACCCTGTCTGCGAAGAAAGCATGATGAACCTTGGAAGGCCAGAGCGAAAGGTCTCCTTCGCAAGCCTTGATGATAGCTTCTCTGATAACAAAGTGTCCATGCTCTACAACTCCATTCACTTTTGAATTATATGGGGAGATGCGAATCTGCAGAATGGAATAGTGCCTCATGAGTTTCTCAAAGGCACCCTTGACCTCACTGCCATTATCAGTGACAACCTGCACAACAACACCATAACGACAGAAAACCTCTTCCCAGAAGAACTTAGCGAGACTGTCTGCATTAGCATGTCGAAGAGCACTGACCTTCTGCAGCGAGGGAAAGATCATCTCAAGCTGCAACAAGATAGCGATATCCACGAGCTTTGGGCATGAGCATGACATCGACATAAACCTTCATGAAGATTCTAGGGGAAGTGGAGATGGTGATGGGGACCTCTGCCTTACGAGTGCTTCGGATCTGGCATTCATGGCAGGAACAGGACATGGTGGGCAACATCCTGATAGAGCTGAGGCCAATAAAAGCGCTGTCTGATGGTCTGAAAGACTCCAAAGACTCCACGATGACCAAGTTCTTCATGAGCATGACCTGAGGATCTGAGCACGGAGACCTGGGTCGAAGATGACCTTAGCTGGAGGATGGGGGCCTCGACGTTTAAAGAGCTGGTCTCCACGAAGGAAGAACTGGAGGGACCTGCGAATGAAACGCTTGCGGGCAGTGTTGGAAGGGAATGGTGGCAGTTCTGTTGTTCGAAGGAAGTGGAGGATTCTACATAAAAGGACATCCTGGGACATATCATTGGAAAGGAAGGATGGGAGGGTCATGACATTGTATGGAAGGGGATGGGCTTCTGTGAAAAGAATACTCTCCAACCACTCATCAGCTTCCTCTGCATCAGCCTCACCTTCCTCATAGTCTTCCTCAGTGGGCTGTCATCTAGAAAGTGCATCTGGGGCTCGATGTCGAATAGCAGGGACATGAACAAGCTTAAAGTCAAAGAGTAGGATACCCTCAATCCAGCGATTGATGGTCGCATTGGGCTGAAGATCTGGATCATTGAGCATACCTTTGATGTACTTCGCATCAACCTCTACCCATAGATGACAAACACCATAGAGATATAGATGATAGTGACGAAGTGCTCTGAAAAGACCATAGAGTTCGAGCTTAGGCTGGCTGTAGCGAGATTCACAGTTCATTGATGGGGAGCGATCCATAGCGAGCAGGACATTTGCGACCTTCATCATCATACTGAGACAGAACGAATCCAATGGCGACATTACTAGTATCAATGGAAAGAATGACTGGCAGGTCAGATGAGTAGTCAATGGGGCAAAGGGCAGGAGCAGACGAGATGGCAAGCTTCAAGGCATCGAATGCATCCTGCTGGGCCTGACCCCAGACGAACAGGAGCATTCTGCGATAGAGATCAACGAAGTGGGCGAGCCAACTGCGAATAGTTCGCAATCCAGATGCGAACAGTACCACAGAGGCCTAGGAAAGAGCGGACATCCTTGGGAGTGGTGAGTGTTGG